GTATGTTCTTGTACGTCCTGTACGTCATGTAACTATGGAGTACTGTATGAACAGAGCGAGACGATTATGATGTATCTCACCAGCGATCGCTACCTGAATCACTGTCGCCTGCATGTCATCGAAAAACCTCCTCCATATTATTTATTATTCCCCAACCTTGTCTCATTGCCCATTACTCATGATTGCTTGATATCTACATTGAAAATGAATAAAGTAAAGCAGTAAAGTATGGATTACACAGGATACGATGTGAGACCCTCTTCTTCTTCCCACAACCACGTTCCGCAGTCTCATCTTTCTTCCAGTAACTCAACCGCTGGGTCAATTGTCTGCCCAAAATTCCTATTCCCAATCCCTCGGGTCCAACATACCAATGCCACAGCAAATCAATGCCCTCACCTGCAGGTGGTTGCTGCAACCCTCGGCGTCCACAATGCCAACATCTGTCCGCTTGTTGGCATGTCGCCGACTATCTCAAATTCTTCTTGCTTTAACTTTTCCACGCTGTCACAGTGGCTACGAGGTCAACAACAATGTTAATATTAAATGGAAAAGAAGGGAAAAATCATTCTCTGTGAATGTATGGAAGTCAATATTATTGCCCTATCTGCATCATCTATTTTTTTATATTTATATATATATATATATATATATTTTCTTCTGGAACCCAATGGTATTATTATTCAGTGTTCATCTGGCCGTTAGGTCAGGATGAATGACAAGTCGCAACCACCACATATTACGACCAACACCGAATAACGGACGATAAAATACCACTTGCTAAACTCGCTTGACGCAATCCAGAGCAGAAAATCCCCGGAACCACCTCAATTATACAAGCCACGCTCTCAGATGTCTTTTCTTCGCCTCTACCCAGCCAGGAATGCTAGGCTGTGTTCCGGAATATCTCACCCGCGCAGTCCAACGTCTTCTGTCTTCCCCCTTGTCCGCCTCTGATTCGTTGTGGGACCCATTTTCACATCTCTCGGCTCTCTCTTCTCCCAGGCCAAGCCGACCGGGTGTATCACCAACCTCCCTACTAATAGTATCTACTAGTACTAAGTATAATCGTTCAGCCACCGACGAAAAGGACAAGCCTTCCTGAGCAAACTAGCATGGAGAACTTGGGAGAGGAAATGTAACTAAAGAAACGCCCTACCTTCCCCCCCCCGCTTTCCCCCGGGGGCCCCACTGCGCTAGACTCCGCAAGCCAGTTACAGGCTTACAGCGACCTGCAAATCCAAACTCCCTGCTGCAGCCACTCAGCATCCACGCATGCTTGCCCAGCTGCTAAAAGATCCACTCCAATCCACCAGGCCGTGATCACTGCTGGGGTGGGGATGGGGTCAGCACTGGCTTTCCTAGCCAGTACGATAGATCGTACACTAGTAAAATGTAATAAATCTCTTCTACCAACTCAATCCAGCTGCCACAACCTGTTTTGGAGTTCCGCAGCTAGACAATCCATGAATCACTGATTATTCGTCAGAGTTCTCTCTTGTTTGGACTTTTGGCGGCCTTTTTCGAGCTTCTCTTTGTTGTGTGAAATTTTATTTGCTATTTTAGGTTTGGTTTTAGTGTGCCTTTTTTGATCTTTGCTTCTTCAGGGTCTGAATAAGCCGACGTTCATAGGTCGCTCGGCCTTCGATATTCTGGCCTTAAGCCTCCAGCCTTTTCCATCAAGTTGTGCCCTCTCCCTCCCTTCCATCCTTCACTTTCATTTCGGCCTTCGATCGCCGTTCTTATGTCCTGACAGCATAATATCTGAAACCTGCTTCCCCAAGGCTTTCGATCATGTGAACCTAGGTAGGTATCTGGGTGGCCACGATCGCGATACCACACGAACATCCCTCACTGGGCACAATTTTAGGAAGCCGTTGAAGTTAATGTCAATGTTTCCGTGTACGCTTTCTGGTCGCACTACAGCTGCCCCACAGTTGAGAATTGAAATATGTGCAGGAGCATGATGCTGCTCTCCATAGCCGCAATAGACGACCAAGAGATGTTTCGTTTTGCATACACGTATCAACGGTAGATGGGCGGGAGGGCGCCGAGCAGTTCATCATCTCATTGGGATTTCCAAACAAGATAAGATCAATCATATCACGTCCTCTCCCGATAGATAACATGTCCGATTGACTGAGATGAAAGTAACCGCCAGAGAGTCCTTGCCTGTGCAGCAGGGCTCTGCGGAGTTATTATCATGTGCCCTCCCTCACTGGAGCAATCGATACCGTGGATCCCTACTCCATTCTCTTTCCATGTTGAGCATCGACAGATGCTTTATATTTTCAATGAAGCGCCATTATGCATATTATTTCTGAATAGGAGAAATATGAAGACAGAATTGGTTAATGCTTTCTCTTTAAGTCTCGTGCGACGGGAGGGCAAGATCTGTCAATCATTCCATTCCTCCTAGCCATCTGTTGAAATATTTCACCATCTTCCAAATCTTATCATAACGCTCAAACCAACTGATCGCCATATATCGCTACCAAACTCCAGAGCTGCCTCAACGAAAGGATACGCATGGCCATCACCCCCTCATGGATCTTATTATTTCGCCAAAACCCTCCGTCGAGCTTCTAGACTACTTTTATAAACTCAGATAGCAAGATTTTACCTTCGATTCAAAGCGTATATGCTATCCATCTATCTGCCCAGACTGGGGGAAAACCCGCCTTCGTAGAGTACGAAAGGCGTTTCAAGCCTCTGACGCACATGACATGCTCCTTCACAGAAGCCACTTTGTAGACGAATCTGAACCACCCTTTGCCTTTTCACAGCCCCCCTTCATGTCAATACCATTTCATTCCCTATGGTCATCTGCACAGTTCAGACATCCGATGCACGACTGTTAAATGGATTCCAACTTCTGGCAGTGGTGAGGCAAACGGCCATTTGGTGGCATGGGATTTGTTTCTGGAGAATCGGCAGTTGGCTCGTTCATCCAATGAAGCCTCCATGCGATGTTCACTGGCGGGTGAGTGACGAAGGTGGACATGTTGAGAGACCAGGTGATTACCTGGTTGCCATGTAGCTCTCTCTCCGTGGAATCGTAAATGGATGCATGAATAACTTTCTTTCGCTGTCGGACGCCAGAAAGTCAAAGACGGAGAGAGTAACAATGTCAACCCTGCAAAACACGGTTCCAATTCAATTCCACCCGTCACTTCTTTCTTCCCTTTTCTACCTTGATATTTTCCACCCATTTACACTTTGCTTCGTCATTTATATATCTCAACATGAAAAAAAATAAAATAAAAAAGCAACATAATCAAGGGTTGTCACAAAAAATCAATTTATCTACCACAAAAGAAAAATAACTCTCACAAGCCCCTTCTACCTTTGTCAATTTATTTTGCCTTAATCCATGCATCAATTCTTCAGTGCACTGCATTAAAAGCAACAAATGAATAAGCAATGTCAATCGTCTGGCGACTTGCTGTGTAACTGTCAGCGGGACAAGCCATTCGACATTGGAGTATGCAGGGAGCTTCAGTCGGATTCTTCCTCTCACTCTCTTGCTCTCGCTCTCCCTCGAGTGTGACACCAAACCCTCTCATTAGAATGAGGACGACTTCCTTGAGCATCTAACTGGCCTAAAGTACTTTGTATATATGTGTCGCTACTAGAAATTGACAGGGTCCTCCTCCTCCTTTGATAGACATGGACCTGTCTTGTGAGAATATTCCTTGACAGAGATACGCGGGTGACCTTCCGATTTTCATCTATTCAGAAGAAAAAGAAAAAAGGGAAAAAAGAAAAAGGAAAAGAAAGAAAAAAAAGTTATTGGAATTTTAACAAACCCTGCACCTGTGCTTGTTAGGCCGAATCAAAAGCTTGGGCTGACATTGGTGACAAAAATTGCGCTTTCTAGGGTTTGGATTTTGCTGTTGGTAACTTGGGTTTCTTAAATAGCCCTCCGCCAAAAGGATCAGTTCACCACGTACAAATTGTCTCAGGGTATCTGGCGGTTTTCCAGATGTCGATGACGCTGTTTACATCCATCAGGTCCGTCATGCGAGGTAGCCCTTTTGCTCACATACCCAGTGTTGGAGGTTTTATCTATGCTCCGGTTCGTTCTTGATTTTATTCGGAGATATTCAAACGCACTCCTTGAGCCGCTGGTCGATTTTCAGCTTAGAACGAACGCACATTTCTCCACTCAAAACATCCCTGATGACTGTGGTGCTGCTCGGAATGTATGTGGATATATGTCTGTGGTTATGTTTGTGGAATGATTTTCTTGATTTTCCCTTTTGGTCCACGCCGTTTGGTAACCTTGCGACTTTATGGATTTGATTCTGTCTGCAGAGTGAGGGAAAGAATTGTTGGATTGCAAAAGGAACTGATCCGACGCTTGTAGTTGGCGGAATACATCAACCTGGTTTATCTGATCTGGAGAAGAGGTACAGTTAACCCCTCTGAGCTCACCGCCTCGATTTAACCAATATGGTATCTGGATTTGCAAGAAAAACCCTGAAGAATAATAAAACCCATGGCAGGAAAAGCATGCTATTGTGCCTCACTTTCAGCGGGGACAGGATTGCAGCTTTGCAAAGTCAGCAACAGTTTGTAAAACTAAGCGGTCCACGTCACCTTTCCTTTCCTTTCCCTTATCTCATGGGTACTCAGCTTTTATCGAAATGGAACAACGTTGCAAAGCCGTTATAGAAAGCTTGCGAACTCTTCTTGAGTTATTGGCGCTAATAGCCACAGACAGAAAATATGCAGCGATTCCAGAATTTGAGGCCTGATTCGTCAGGCGCAAAAGGGAACTTTCCTGAAATCCCATTATTCCGGGGTAATTATCATGTTTGCCAACAGGGCGGGCCGCTGGCTGATAGGCAATTCTCCTTTGGTATCATTGCCGATCGACAGCACATATCCTTGATACTCTCGTTGAGCGAGGAAAGCTACTTGTCGCAGTGCTTACGGAATCTGGCGCATGGTTCCTCCATATTATGGCCGTAGCAGCGGGAGCTTATCGGGGCTGGTTAAGGAACTGGGTCTGAGCCGCTGGCCCATCTGAGATGTCCACGGATTGTGTGGTTCAAACCGAAATACATCAACCAACGGCAAACACTGGCAACCGGGAAAATTCTCTCAAGCTTGGGTTCCTTCTGCTGTGCCATGCGGCATAGCGAGGTGTAGATCTCCATTTGGAATGGCGATTGTTTAACAATTGGGCCTTTGTTATGTCGACTTTCAAGCCAAGCTGCAGTATTTGGTAGGAATATAGGTTTTGACTCGACCTTATTACCAGAGTGGACCGATTTTGGAGAAAGGAATCCTCCATGGATACGAATCAGCATCCAGGTCTTCGGATGCCCAATATCCGCATAAGCCTCAAGAAACCAACAATATCAACATCGAGAGAAACCGAAGACCAAATCGTTCCTCATTGGTTGAACTAGAGGATTTCTACCAGTGGAAATTTATTAATCCTTAGAATCACTTGTCATTGTGCATTTTTCTGCCACAACAACACAGCCATGCAGTCCGTCCCATGCTCAATGGCAATGGTGTTTCGCACGCCTTCGTCAATGAAAGCATCCATGGATTTGAAACTTGCCACCAAAGTTGCAGGATAAGCAGAAACCGCAGAGGCGAACATGATCGATATCAAATCTTTGGCTCGTAGGGAGCATCTTCGATAGTTACGACCAGAGACAATTGGCAGTAATTTAGCCTTACCCCTTATTTTAGCATTTCTGTATGTCGATGCCTTACAAAGAATGCATGGAGCAAAGCCAAAAGAAATGAGACAAGATAAAATAAGTTGACAAGTGCCCTTCACATGAAGCACATGGTGGTCGAGATAGCAGGTTCTGCCACTCTTTCAGTTCTCAGGGTTAACAATGATGGACCAAATACAATTTTGGAGTTTGGCATTTTGAGGGTTTTTTTTTTTTTTTTTTTTTTTGAACTGATCACAAAAAAATCATCCACGAGTTGAGACTTAGCGCGAAGGGTGCAAGTGGAATTTTGCTGCGAGGTGCCATATCATTTCTCGGTAAGCATCGAATCCCTAATTACCTAGTCAACTAGTTAACTAGTTACACTTAGCAGTGTGGTGCTCTGAGCTATACACTAACTAAGGAAACGCTGGAATAATTCAGCAATTCTGACGAGGTGCGGATATGGCTACATCAGATACCGGCTGTCGTTTTGCCTCAGCTCTCCTCGAGCGCTCCGTAGGCAGAATATCTATTTGTCAAGAGCAGAATGCGGGAGCGAGGTAGAGGCGTTGATATCGCTGCTGAAAATTGAGATATCTGGGCCTAAATTTCCTCTTAGTTACAAGGCTGCAACTTGCAAGTGTGAGACTGAAGCGAACCACTCAAGGTTTTGCCTTTTTGGAAGTTCGAAGACAATCAATTACAAATCTGACTTTTTAAGACTGTATATTTCTGTTGTGGTTACGTTGCTTGGACCTCTTGACAAACTGGACTTTCTGCCCAAAAATGGGCCGCCAAAGCATTGTACGGTATTACGGCTGGATATTGACTGATCTTCCACCGCGGCCGAAATCTAGAGGAAGGATTTTGACATCAATATGATTCCAACAATGTTTACCGCGGCGCATTGATTATGTTTTATCATGATTAATTGACTCTGTTCTGAGGGTCCCAAGTTTTCTATGTGATTTAAAGCCCTTTCTAGGTAGATCATCACTTCAATGAATGCCAATCCCGTTATTTCCTCGCTGGGGGCTCTTGACACCAGCAAGTTGTCGAAATACAGGTCATGGCTGAAGTGCACATCGTTATCCACACGAAAAATCCTAGATAGACCTTACTTCATCTAGGGTCCCTGATTCATTTAATAATGCTCTTTTCTTCTTTTTTTCTTCTAGAAGCGGAGATTTCCCCGAGCGAAGAATTTCCGCGGTTTCCTCTCGTCCACACGGTGCTCCTAAGTCCAATGAATTAAGCGTGGCGGTCCGTTGCCCACGTATCAAATCGTCAAACGGATCGATGCTAGTTTGATATTAAATGCGGCTTGCCGTTTGGGAGCACATTGTTTTTCGTGAACAATAGTTGTCACCTTGGCTGTTTTGGGTTTCCACAGGGTTCTGCCAATCACCCAACGGAAAGCAAATTTGGTGGGGATGAAAGTTGCCCAGTGGACAGAGAATTCCCCCTGAAGGCTTCATTGGCGCACATACCGAGTGTTGTCTCACAACTATTGTCGACGTTATATCGAGTCGTGATTAAGTCTGTGGTCCCCAGCGTCGCGGCATGAATTTTCAACCGACGGACAACAGCCTCATTTATTATCAATCCGTTCTTCTGAGCAGAAGTCCCCCAATATTTCTATCCGATCACTCAAATTCATCGCTCAGTGGTTTGATAAATTTTGGAGGGCTGCATGCATTCTTTTGAACAGTTAGCTAGTTACCTCAAAATCTGCAGGTAACCTAGAGTTAAAACCCAAGTTCCCCCTCGCGGTTGTGGAATCATCCCAACAGTCTGGACTGAAAGCGGGTAATGACGATCTTGTCAAACACGAGCTTTCGACGATAATGGCTTAACAATTACTAACAAGGAACGTGTTTGATATCTTCATCCCTCTGGAATTGAAGAGTTTAATGTTGGATTTGTTGATGAGTCCCATTCTGCTTGTTTTCTTGCCAAAAGGCTTATCAGCTTCCTGGATATTCACCCTTTGCCAACATTGAGCCATAAATATGTACGATTTGCCTTAAAACTGCATGTTTTCTTCGATAAAGACTTTATGATCTTTCGCTGTTGAGATAACATTACCATTTCTGCAAGTTTTCTCCGCCGTGGAAGAGCCCACGGAATCCACGGCAAACAGAATCGCGGAGGACTCAACTTGTACGACGGGATACCGTTGATTTGAAAGTTATGACGGAGCTCTGAGATTTGTTTCCGGGCCACGGAATCCTGCGACAGATTAGGAGTAGATAAGGATGAACCTAGGGCTTCAGAAAGATATAGTCTGAGGTCCATATAAAGAGGCCATTACTTTGTTGTAAATGCTGATAGGCGTGTTATGCTCCCTGGTTCAAAAATTGAGCAAAAGAAAAACAACCCCGCGTGTCGTTGTATTGAGGACGTACAACATGGCGTCGGAAGAGGCTCAGTGTGCATTTTAAAATCTTTTAAATCTTTCATCTGCCTTTCTGCCCGGCACGATAAGTGCCTTCGTATAATATTTTTTTACATGATATCTAGAGAGCTTCAGCATTGTAAAAATGTGATGAATCGCGAAACTAACAACGACATGCGTTTGGTAGGGATGCCAAAAGTCAAAGGCTCATTCGACTCCAACGCACAGGATGATTCCGAGTTTGAATTCGGAGGCGTAGTTATTCGGTGCCAGTGCCATAGTTCTGTGGGTCTCTGACCATCATGAACCACATGTGCATCAGAGCAACGCTCTGCGGTGGGCCAATTTCCAACCCCAGAATGACAAAAGCTTTACGGAGTCTCTAACGCAGACTCGCCCATCTTGCATGTACCTATGCTTTCCCACACCGCAAAGCCTGGGTTATATAATGGACACTCATCGCACTGGACGGGGCTGGCTACCTCCTCCCCAGCGTGTATGTATCGAAAGGGACGGCGACTACTCGCATATGGAAGGGTGGGAAGGGGAGGGGGGCCAAGCAGCTAGACTACTACTGCTCGGCTCTCTGGTCATGGCATCTAAGAATTTCTGAAGCTCTAGCTCTGTATGTGTCAGGTGTTTTCAAGCTTTATACGCTCATCGACGAGTTAGGGCCTCTGATGAGCGTAGCTATTTGTTTCCGTGTTTCTGTGTTTCGCATGCTTTCGGCAATAACTAGTGAGGGGTGATCAGCATCTCATGACTGGGTCATTCTTTTATGACTTTTTCATCAGAGCAGAACTCAATCCACGGCTCTTTGGATTGTTGAATTTCAAGATGTTTCTCGAAGTCCGCATTCCACGGTACTTCCTCTTCCTTTTCCCCCCTAACTGCCTCATTTGGAGGAGTTTGGTTATGTTTCTGGAGAACTCGGATTCCTGCTCATGTCGCATTTCATTTACGCGAATGCCTGCTCTAAGGGCGAGGAACTCATTATCACCAGCTGGTATTCTCTCCATGCTAGCATGCCAATTTTTCTGTAGTTTTGACGGCTAACATTTAGTTTCAGGGAAAATGTTCTTTGAGAAACTGGGGGTTCTTCTGATCTTTTGGAATATGGCTAGTGTGCCAATGACTTACTCTTTGCTGCACAATACACTTCGCGAAAAACCATCCCTCTGACTATCATTTGAATCCATGGCGCTGCTGGCTCTTTGTATTTCGCATCTCCTCGTTTACTGGGTATGGGATACGGCAAATAGTCAGAAGAACTGATTCAGAGCCCATGAGCACGGAAGACTGGTGAATCGCAAAGCATTCCCTTCATTCCCTTGGAGAACTTCATAAAACCATCCGGACCGTATCCGCACTGAAACGGCAGATTTTTATCTTGTAAAAGCAAATAATAGCGGATATACAGCAGCCCCATACAAAAATTAATAAGGATCAACACTTCCGCTCGCGCTCGAAATGAGCGTGAAGCCGCATTGGCTCCTTGTGGCATTTCTGCAAACAGGTGAGGGAAAGGTAAAAGAATGATGAGAGAGTTCTCACACAAGGGAATGAGCTCGAGGAGCAGGATCAATTTATTAACAAGGAACGAACAAGATTTGGACACGTTCTTTGAACATAAACCACATGTTGTACATATTCAGAAACATGATTTTATACTGGACTTCATTAATTCATATCACGCGATTCTGAATTGCGTCCACCGCTGTTGGATATAGGGGATTCTTAAGGGGCATTTCTAGGACTGAGGCTTCTCCAATTGCATTTATTCATTGTGATATGATGATACCAGACTAATCCGGACGATCTTTCACAATGGCAATGTGAAAGATTTGGAGATCATAAAGTTAGCTTTATTCTCAGAGTCTAGAATGCATTCCTAGGACTCCAAATCAACCATCAGTGTATGGGTGTAATATGCAGAGGAGGTTCATATATTCGTGTGTAGAGATTGTGCCCTTTTAAAAGGGATATTAGAAACCCTCACTTCCCTTTCCCGCCCTTCTTCTTAGACTTATCCACAACCTCTATCCACTGAGGCTTGACCCCCCGACTTGCTAAAGCAGCTTTGACGAGTGTTCGATGATCACCATGAACCAACACGCTCATCATTCCCTTAGCCGCTCCCACAGCTTGCGAAACGCTTGTACTACTCGAACATTTCTTCTGCAACTCATCCGCCAACAGCTGCGGCGTGGCGCCGAACTCCTCTACTCCTGTTATCTTGGTGGTTACCTTCGAGCCCACACGATGTTCGATGGTCACGGTGACTTTTGGACCGGGTCCGGCCTTCAGTTTTACGTCGTGGAGCGTTTGGTCAGGCTTCAGCATGGCGTAATAAGGCGCACAAAGATAAGGGTTTTCAAGGAGGCGTCGAAGAATTCCATCACGCTGGATGGTGCCGCGTTTCAGAATAGCCAGATCCTCGACCGAAGAGGATAGAATCGTGTTGCTGATGAATGGGTTGAGTGATATAATGTGTGGATTTGTTGGGGATATGATGGGAGGATCTTGGGCTGTCAGATAATCGTTGAGTTGCTTAGAGACAGCAGAAGGCGTGTAATAATTGTTAATATCACTGTTCGACAGAGGCGGAAATAAGACAGGAATAAGTTTTCCGCTTGGCCGATAGAGAGTTTTCACCGTGAATGATTGGCCCACTGCATGATCTTTGCTGCTTCCATCCAACGAAACAGTCTTGCTTTTCTCGGTGGATTTGACGGTGCTCTCAGAGCTGCTCCTTTTTGGAAGTTTGTAAGGGACGAAGTTGACGACTCGGGCATTGTCAAAATCGACGTCCAACAGCACTGTTTCGCCGCCATTGCGATCTTTAGCCTTCGCCAGCCCCTCTTTATCTAGGTGCTTGATAAACTTCTTCACATTTTTCCAGGAAGTCTTCTTGATATTATAGAATTGAGCTTGTTGGGCTGAATGGATTGGAAGGAATGGGGTTATGAGGTTGGCTATCAAAAACGATGGTTGGATAGGGAATGATATCCCGTAATGAGAGGCGGATGGATTATCAACCTTGTGTTGATGAAGGCCATAGAGAAAGGCATTTTGAAATGCCGTGTCAATCTCTGTATTCCAGTTAGGTTTGCAAATCCGATGCTAGAAACTGAAATTGGGAGCTAAGAAAGATAATCTGTACCTTCAGTAGTGGGTTCCGGCAATTGCTCGTCTGGATCTGAGCCCTCTCCCTCGCCTTTCGCGCCATCCAACCAAACACCACCATCATCCCCTTCGCCTTCGGCATCGATTCCACCCTTATCTGCATCTTCTAGCGTTAATTCTTCCAGATCCTTCCCCACTTCATTGGCACCAGGAAGCCAACCATCTATTTGATCTGGAGACGGCCGGCCTGGTCGACCCATGTTACCCCAGCTCCAGAGCTCATCTCCCTCCCACGTTACCCCACTGACGGCATGACCCTTCGTACCTTGCACCTGCTCCAACCCTGCCACATCGATTTCGCAAACACCAACGAATGTTGGTACGCTGGGTTTCTCCAAACTCGCCACAGCAACAATCGCTCCTTTTACCGCCCCCTTGGCGAACGGCGGCCCATTAGCCAACCCCGGGGTCATCAGGTCTGCGCCCCCATACAGCTTATTCATCACCAAACTGGGGGTATGTAGTAGGGGGATGAGCTGTGGGTGATGCCATAGCGTATATACCGTGGGATACAAGCGGCCATCTGAGCCTGCGCCTTGTTCAGGTCGCACCCATAGGATCCGTTCGTCGGCATCGGGATGCGAACCTACGTAGATAGTGCCCAAGACAGGTTTCAAATCGGGTCCTGCTGTAGTTGTAAAACGTCCAGACATGGTATTATCGGGGAGAAGAGATTTGCGAAGAGCGGTGAGGCTAGTTCCGGCTTCATTTTGTGGGGTTTCAGACTGCCCGTCGTTTGAAGAGGCAGATGTTAGAGGAATTTCGATGTTAAATTGTTGGATAATTTGGTCCGCTACCTTCCGTCGGTCGGAAGTGCGGAGGGGGGCGAGGGGTTTGAACTGAGAATTGTGGTTAGTAAAAACTGACGCGTTATCCATCTCGATGATTGCAGGGTGGAGCGGGTCACTGATTAAACAGGGAACTCCTTACAGTTGGTTTCTTTTTAAACATAATCAAAGGCTGTATGTACGGTTGTGGGGCATATAGACAATGGAAACTGAGAATGTGCAAAGAATTTTCATACGATGATCTGTTTCCTCTCACCTTGATCACCTAGAATTTTTGAGATGCTGGGATGGTTGTATTCTTGAAAACAAAAAAAATGAAAACAACACATTGTGTGAATGATTGCTACCCAGGTACCTGACTACGTAGGTTTAACTGCTGTGTTGACTCATCATTCAACTGAAGCTCTTCCAAACAAATATGCTTGTTTCACTTAAATCAGTTAAAAGAAAAGAAGAGAATTCCAGCAAAGAGCTAACCATTAAATTCTGCTTCAAAAGTTGAGGGGATTTGTCATTGCAAGCAAGTGCTTGATCTCTGTTCTGACCTGCAGCAACATTGCAACTTTTCTGTTACCTTCACTTGAAAACTCCACTCTCACTAAAAACTCTATTCAGATATTAAATGAATTTTTGCCACGCCCTCTACACTTTCTTACTATCAGTTTATATGAACACAGACAATCAGAAAGCAAGCATGAAAGTGCTTCTCAGGAGACGGTTGATGAATGTATTGAAACTTGAGAAAATGTTGGAGGCAAATTTGTATCAAGTATACGATGTACAACAGTGTCATCCGCAAAGGGGGGGGGGGGGGGGGGGGGGGTGCAGATCCATTTTCCACCCAAATAGCCCCCCTCCATACCGCACTATATAGGTAGTCTTCGAAGATGCAGGTGGACTTTATCTCTGTTTACCAATTTCCTTCTCTTTTACTAGATTTCCTCTGCTTCTTTCGTCATCTGGTGTGTATGTGCAGTATTATTTCAGATCACTGGTTTAACCCACAGCCACCTTCAGATGTCCTGAGCTAAACAGCCCACTCGTCAGCAAGACGACAAGCACATAAAACATGCTTTGACGTTGGAGAGGGGGAAACGGGTAAGAACTATGGATATCTTTTTCCCCCCCCCGCCAAAAGCACCGTGACGGCATAGCCTGCTTTGCTGTTCGTCGAACCAAGAAAGTGCATTATTGTTCTCATCCCCGAGTGAGCGTTGAACACTCGATCGCAGCTATGAACCTAAGCTGCTGGACGCACATTGCGTGTACCCATTTCTTATTCAAAATATGCCATTGTTGACTTACTCAGCCTCTTATCTATCAGTTGCGATGTGGACGCCTGTTCCGTTCGTTCATTGTTAACCATTGCATATCACCTTATACGCGCGTACAATGCATGGCTGTTGGCGCATCACTCTCTTCACCTTTCTTATTATTTTTACCTCAGCTACAGCCATACCGCTCTTAAAGGTCCCCAAAACAGTGTGCGGAGGGCCTTTTACTATTCCAATCCTCGTTTCCGATGATTTGAAACAGATCGATTTGGACAGTGTTACGAGCTTATCATTTTGGGATATTGTCAATAGAACCGCGGACACCACTACTCTGGATGCAGATTCCGGAGCTACGCTAGCATACAGCCCGATCCAACCCCCTGCGGAAGTGGATGATCCTGTCCTAGTTTCGTGGGCTGCCGAAAATGCCGATATTCTTTCGACCCTCAATCCTAACAATACAGGCCTATACTATCGCGACCAAGTCTTGAATCTTACAACCTATCCCTGGAACACAATCGGGAGAGTATCCTTCGTGCGTTTTAAAGGAGATAGAGGAGGGTGGTGTACAGGATCATTGGTTGGGAGGAATCTCATGCTCACGGCGAGCCATTGTTTTCCGTGGGGCTACGGTAAAGATCGATGGATGAAATTCGCACCAGGCTATGGCAATGGCTATGAGCCATATGGCAGCTCATACGTGTCACGTTGCCGAGGAGTGCAAAATATCTTTAACGTCACCGGGATTGACTACGTTATCTGCCATCTCTGCGAACCGCTTGGCGACCGGACTGGGTGGATGGGAACAAAGTGGAGGAAGGATGCGCATTTTTATATGAACCAGCAATGGAGGAGCTCCGGATATCCGAGTGATGCCTTTCAGGGGAATGAGCAGATGCTTGTGTCAAATATCAGCCTCATTGATGTTGATTACCATGAACGGCTTGGGAAAGAGCTGGAGACTAGAGTGTTTGCATCACCAGGGTGGTCTGGAGGCCCTATGTGGGAATATATCGATGGGGAGCCGACCATTGTGGGTGTTTGTAGTGGGGGAGAGAAAGACTGTAGCGAGGAGGCCGGTGGGTGCAAAGGCGTGAAGGATTCCAGCTCCTACCATGAAGTCTCTGCGGGAGGCAGACTTATGACTGATCTTGTCACCTATGGTCTCACCCATTGGAATGATGCTGGCTATATGGACTGATCTCTCTCCGTCACAAGCACAGACAACCATTAGATGAATCTGTTAAGTTGGTCATCCCTTGATGTGGCTCACTTGATTTAGTCACCGGCAATTTGACCACAGGTCTCCCGTCTGCTTTTCACAGCGCTAGGACTGGCCCCCAACGATGTTCTTATAATAGACAACAAATCAATTGAATCTTATTCTTAAGCCTCCTGTGCAACTACTACTCTGCTCTCATCCCAAAAATTACTGACAAGATTAAATGAGAGTTGGCATGCGCCAAAATAAGTGCAACATATACCGCTACATTCATGAGGATAGTTGCAAATATAAATATAATGGTTAGCAGATGTAGTGTAGAAAATATCACACATTAAATATTTTAGATATTAAATATGCTGAATATCGGAAAGTGAGGAAAGAAACAGCTTCTTTAGCCCACATTACTGAAATCTTATCTCTAAAATGACTGATTGTCGATCCCTCCCCTGTCCACACTCAACTCCACAGGACAATAAACTCAATCCACTAGCGACAACCATAAGCAATCCATACCGCTCTCGTTGCGTGCTCATAAACCTCAAGTATCATGCAGAGAAATATCAAGTTTCCTGAGCAATGGGATAAGAGCCAGCGCTGCATTTCCATCACTAGATAGGGAAAGCCCTCCAGGAAGCGGTTCTCTTTTTGCAACTTCAGCCGAAAATGTGTTCGAAAACATACATGAACAAAGCGCAACGCCACTGACCGCCTCTAGCTGGCCCAAAAAAAAAAAAAAAAAGAAAAGAAAAGAAAAAGACTGATGTTTCCACTTAACTAGCCAACATATTGTACCTCCATGCAAGCAAGCTTGCGTAATGGGTATATATATGCCATGTTCTCCGGGCAGGTTCGAGAAGGCGAGATACTCCTTCGTTTGTTGTACTGCTGGTTGCCGAAATAACGAACACACCAATTCAATGCCAAAACATGGCCCGAAATGAGTTTGTCTCCGGATTATTGGAGCCATATCCGCAGTCCGCAGCTGCGCAGAAGCTTTGAAACGGTGTGACTTCGTGTTCTCCCAACTGAGACCGTTTCCCACGTTCTCGATATTGCCCGGCAACTTGCAATGTTTGCATGTGAGGGATTAACCCTGAAACTTCTAAAATTCGAGACCCAGCAACTTCCGCTGCAATCGCGGTAGGACGGGTATCATTCAGTGGAAGATGGCAAACTTCAGATCGTGCGAGGTAGGCTGGGTTTAGACATATTCCAGATAAACCCCCACCCCCACAAATGCGGAATATGTCTTCCGACGACGAAGGTGACGTACATATGCAGGTAGAATAGCCTTTCATTTGGGTGCTAAGATTTTTCCAGTATTTCAAATCTAAGCTCATTTGAAGGTCCTCAATTCTGCGTAAATCCCAGTCCTGTTAGCTTGATTCTCGCCAACAAGGGGATAGGGGTTATCTATGCCATGACTAGAGTGAATCTCAGCAGGCTGAGGCAAATGTTAATTCCTTCAGTGACATGATAGTCTTAGCGAATATCCTAGTCCAAACAGGCAGAAATATGTCATGATGTGTGTTGAGCATGAGGTTGTTTTCCTGTGATGAACTGCCATGTTCAAGTGAACTAATCCCAGTGAATTGCTCCACGTGATCAAAAAATAAAAAATCAAAAGAACCGTGTTTCAACAAGAGAGAAGTTGACCCAGATTAGTTGGAATCTCGAGCGGCTGTCCGGGATTTGTTGGAACTTGGCGCTGGTTGCCGTGGCATCGTCATGAAAGTCGGGTTGGGCAGTTTGTGGGGGAGCCAGGTTTTTGGTTCTGGAGAACAATATCCAAGATCATGCTTTTTTATTTTATATTGATTTCTACTTTTATTTTTTTTTTATCACTTCTGTCAGCTGCATACTCATCTTTCATTGATGAGTTTGATGATAATAGATTGAATTGCGAGACTACCTACATCTTGGCAAGCGTGTGCTGTCAAACATCTGGTATATGGGCTTTTCTTCCTTTTGTTTACATCGCCATCGCAAATCAATTGAACCACATTGTATTCATCTCCGCCGAAATATGTGAATGTCGCTATTCACATTTCTCCCTGCTTTCAATTTTTGGGGGTCTGGGAATTGTCTACATATTATAAAGGCTGACATGAAGGATTGAGAATTTTTACTCCAATTTGAAGTCCACATAAACCACACACCTACGGCGCATCCCAACTTCACATCCATCTACACATTTTATATATTACCTCACCCAGCACTCGCGGGCCTCTCTCCCTTCTCGTGACGAAGGATGCGACTAGACCCGCTCCCTCTCCTCCCGCTGCTCCTTACCTCAGCCCGAGCCGCTGTCCGAGAAGACTACTCCGACAACACCGACACATCCTCCCCATTCCACCTACCGCTCTTCGACAGAAATAATAATAATCATAATAATAATGGAAACCCGATCTTTATCGACAGTCGCAATGCGAAAGAGGCTGTAGCACTAGAAAGGCGCCAGAATCAGTGTCCGGCAGGTTTCAACAGCTGCGCCTTGCTAGGTGCTGCCGGTGCATGCTGCCAGTCCAATGCCGTCTGCTCGCGCGACGATGCGAATCACATCGCCTGCTGTCCCAGCGGATCGATGTGTACTGGTAAACTGACAGGTGGGCAAATATCTAAACTTTTTCCCCTATAACCCCGATCTTATAAACTAGTTAAAAATTGGTAACAAATATCCAAAAACCTGACCAGTCCCCTCCCAAACCACCTCCACCAACTTCATGTTCCCCCAGCCAGGCACCGCAACAACCACTCCACCCCTAACCCCAACTCCCACCGCACCGGGAACCGCCTCGGTTGTCCCCAACGCCCCATATCCGTTTACTGTCATCCCAACCACCTTTTCCAACCAAGAAGCCTGCGTCACCGCCTACTCAGGCTGCCAGGCGCAATTCTCCAGCTGTACGGCGGCGCTGGGAGGTGTGCACGGCGTCACTGTTGGGGGTTGGAACGGGCAGGGGATAACGGTAGCCGGTTACGCGCCGACAGCGGGGAATCCGCAGTCTGTCTGCTCAAGTTTGAGCACGGCTGCTTGCCATGGGTTACAGGTTGGGTATTGTACGGCGTTTAGGGGTGGAGTGGGCTCCGGAGGGATTGGACGGAATGGGGGTTGGAGTGGGAATGGATTGTTGTATGATATTGCGGCTGGGGTTGTAGTTGCGGTTGCGGGGATGATTGTTTGATTTTAATTGTGGTGTTGTTCCCCCTTTTTTTACTTTAATATTTGGTTCTTATATGTGGTGATTATCTTGTGATGATTCTGAATTTTTTTTGTTCTTTCCCCTTTAATATTTGGTTAACGTCGGGTTTCAAGCGTCTGCTTTATTTCCCTTTCATCTCTCTCCTCTTCTTTTTCCATATTAAGTGCTAAGATATATACGACACCACAAATATGTATATTGGCCTTGTACATGTGAACAATCGGGATTAGCCTTATTTCTTTCTGCCGATGACTTATAGATGCTGGGCTGTTCTCCGGCAAGCTTCTGCTGGTTCTGCAGTCTTCCCTCCATTATTTCGTGGCTTTATAGCGCAAATCTACAAGTTGGAGCCATTTCCCACCCTTAAGCCTTATCAAGACGCCCCTTGCGTTACTTGCAAAGACGGACGGATGCTACATCATAAATCAAGCACCCATCCAATGATCCAAGGATCCTAGGTCGCAGTGAACGAATTAGTCAGCATATTAGCTTTTCTCGGTGCTGGTACCTTTGCGGGAGATCCGGACCCATCAAACTCAGACCGCAATGTCAAGACACTTTATTTACTGCCTGCGTGGAGTACGGGAGTAGAGATCGTACATGCCGAAAAGCAAATACTTGTGTGTGGCCTGACATATTCGCTGGCCATGTTTCTGACCATCTCCTGTTATGCCACGCCGGCAAGTCGCCGGTCGGCATCCACCAAGCTTCCCCGCCCAAACTCGGATGACGCAGACGCTGTTAGTACCGCGCACGAACAACTCACACCACCGTTATTAACAACAGTCTGTTCTTCGATTATTAATATCCCCCGTTCCGCAGTTGGGGAATTTCTAGCTCGCTCTCCTACAACTACAATTATTAACTAAAGTGCCTAAGGGCGAAATCCATTACACCCAACGGGGGCCGGTGTTGGCTGCAAAATTAGGGTGGTTGGGTGAGTTGGCACTAGCTAACTGAACAGTGATGTAGTAATAAGAAAAGTGGCTGGGCGGGACAAAAAAGAAAGGGCTGGGTCTTAGACAAGTGCACCACCACCTCAAGTTTGGAGGGCTTTCTTTTCTTTTCTTTTCCTGTTTTCGTCTTTTCTCTCTTTCTTCTGTTTTACTTTCCTTGGTTTGGAATTGATGTGCTCTTCTTGTCGTATCGTTTTCTGCATATCCGTTGAGATCTTGCCAAACCTGTCAACGCGGGAATAGTTTTGTTGCTTGAGGAAAATCTATCCACCTCACGTATTCTCACCTCTAAAATTTCTTCCAGCCGTTTGTCGCAAAGCCTTCAAGAGGTCCAAAATTGGGTTGTCGTGCACTCTACGAACCGGCCTGTACTCGTACGGTGGTTGGTGAGAGACAACAATAGACGCCCATTGAGTCGAGGATCTAGACTGGACTTCTTCCAACCTCAACACAACCAAAATGCAGCGCCTCAGGATATCCTCAGGCGCCTTAGCCATCTTAACCATCCTCTCACAAGCGCCATTGACACAATCGTTCCCATTCCCCGTCCATTTCAACCTCAATCTTGCCAGCCGCGATTGCACGCCATGCGGCTTCTACAGCCAAGAATGCTGCACCGCATTGCAAACTTGCTCCACCAACGCTAACAATCAAGCAGTTTGCGTCAATTCCCCCCCCGCGAAAGCTCAAGATTCCGGCCAATGGGAAACCTTCACAACGACATACGTCCGCACAGATCTGGTAACAGTCACGTCGACTGGGAGCAGATTAATCACGGCACCAACCTCCGGAAATCAAGTACAATGCCAACTCAATCTCGGCGAGTCCCTCTGCGGGACAATATGCTGCACAGCCGCCCAAGCTTGCAACACAGACGCACTCCGATGCGTTGAATCGGGAAGCTCACCCTTCGAACCAACAGTTGGCCCCGCCCCAACTCCTCCGACCAGACCAACCAGCTCCGGCCGCGCAACAATCACCGCCCACCCAACAGCAGCCGTCCCATTCATCCCGCCTGTCGGATCAGACGGACAACCTCTCCCTCCACAGGCCTCCACAGGCGGCAGACTCAGCGGCGGCGCAATCGCAGGCATCGTCATCGGTGTCCTAGTCGGAGTTGTCCTGCTATTCCTCATCTGCCTCTCCGCCTGTGCCAAGGGCGCCATCACGACCATCCTGGCACTGCTGGGACTAGGAAAAAAGAGAGGAAGCAGTAGCGGCTCCGGTAGTACCCAATCGTTCTCTGACGTTGACAATCGTCCACCGGGTCGTACGTGGTTTGGTTATCGTCCCTCCCGGCCGCCTGCGGGCTCAGCCTCGTACTCCTCCTATTCTAAAAAGTCAAAGAAGTCGGGCTTGTTTGGGATGGGAAAGTGGACTAGTGTCGGGCTTATACTTGGTGCATTGGCGATTTGCCTTGGATTGAGGAGCAAAAAGAAGCAGAATGGTCCTCCGAGCTCGGCGTCATATTCGGACTCGTATTATTATTATGATTATAGCAGCAGCAGTAGCAGTAAGTAGACAGCCACGGCGTTTGAAGTTTCTTTTGGTGGTATTTGCTTTCAATGTGCTAACCAATTTCCCCCTCTCCTTTAGGCAGCTCAGCGCCCCGAACGAAGCGGTCACAGTATTCGAAGACAAAGTCGAAGTCAAGATCTAGATCGAGGTCGACGAAGCATTGATTTCTCTTTGTCTGATTGGCCTCTTTCCACTTCTCTGAATTCTGCTGGTTGATTTCCAAAGCATCGTCCTCGAATAGATCTCCATTCATTTGTGTCGATGTTCTGGCGTTTCCCGAACTTCCTTTCATTTTCAATTTCTTGTTTATTAGTCTTGAATCTTGTTTGTCAATGATGCGGCGTTAAGCGGGGTTTGAACGGGGCACTCTTCATATGTCTACGATTTGAAATGTCGACTATGTATATAATAATGCGGATAATTTTTCCTGTTATGAAAGATTAAGGGATATCAGGGATACGACAGACGGGTGCGGAATATGTATGTATGGAATGTAAGGTTCAACGAAGAGCTAGGGATGAAAGTAAATAACGACTAGGCCAAAATGATATAAATTCAACTTGTGCAAACTAGTTATATCATTGAAAAAGTGCTCCGTTTAAGTAAAGCCAAGGAAAAGAATGCACAAAATGATTGTTGGCTGTCCCAGCTCACATTCTACTCACATTCTTTTCATACCTGGTGTTTTCATTTGATCGAGAACCCCGGAAGTTTGCTGCCGATGTGGACCTTGGGTGTTATTAGTGCCTTGGGGTGATTAGTCATCACCGGTCGAATCAACTGACCCGCCATAGTCCGAACTTCTCCCAACCCAGCAAGTCTTTCTTGTGCCTCATTACTTCGGACTTCGCACTTCGGACTTCAACCACCCAGTTCTGTTTCCTTTCTTCACTCTTTTCTGCCCTATCTATTCCTCAGAACCCATACCTATCCTCTCATCTGACTCATAGCGTTGTGCAAAGTTATTCACTCGGGGACAACCTCCCCAGAGTGGTGGCTTTCATACTCCTATTTTCGCGATGTTACAGACTCAATCCCAACACCTTTTCTCACATCAGCATCAATATCCCCACACAGCTGCAGACGCTTCCTGGATCCAGCAGCAACAGCAGCACCAGCAGCAGCAACAACAACAGCAGCACCAGCAGCAGCAGCAGCAGCAGCAACAGCCCTCCCATTACCAGCAGCAGCAACAGCAACATCAACAACAGCAGCAGCAGGCGCAGTCCCAACAGCACCATCCCCAGTCATCTCTGGCAGCCCAACAGCATGCTCAAGCGCAGGCAGCGGTTGCCGCTGCGGCTGCTGTGGCCCAACACCAACATTACAATCGGATAGCCTTGAATAATAGCTCTGCTGCTTCCGCTGTTGCTGCTGCTGGTAACCAGGCTGCGTCCGGTGTAGATAGTGCCGCTGCTGGTGCTGGCAATATCGATGGGGGAATCAGCGAAGAGAATCGGAGAGTCCTTGTGTGGGTGGCTGAGCTTATGGATCCTGCTCGGCGAGAGGCTGCTTTAATGGAGCTTAGCAAGAAGAGAGAGCAGGTGCCGGAACTCGCTCTTATAATATGGCATTCCTTCGGTACGTGATGATGAGAGGTTGTCCTCTTGCCTCCTCCTTGCTTTTGCTCTGACCATTTTGTCGCCTTTTCAAACAACTGATGCATTTATTTTGGGGCAGGTGTTATGACCTCTCTACTACAGGAGATTATCTCGGTTTATCCTCTATTGAACCCATCCCAGTTGACTGCTGCGGCCTCGAATAGGGTTTGCAATGCTCTCGCTCTGTTACAATGTGTGGCTTCGCACAACGAGACGCGCACTCTTTTCTTAAATGGTAATATTAATATTGGCACTAACTCTCTTAATGAAATTATAATCTGAAAACTGATGTGCTGACTCCTGGCCAAAATACAGCACATATCCCTCTTTTCCTTTACCCATTTCTTAACACCACCTCGAAATCTCGTCCGTTTGAATATCTCCGTCTCACCTCTCTTGGTGTAATCGGCGCGTTGGTGAAAAATGACTCGTCGGACGTCATAAACTTCCTGCTCACGACGGAAATCATTCCCCTATGCCTTCGCATCATGGAAACAGGCTCCGAACTAAGCAAGACTGTTGCCATCTTTATTGTACAAAAGATCTTACTGGATGATATTGGCCTTGCATATATTTGTGCTACTTATGAGCGTTTCTATGCCGTTGGAACCGTGTTGAGTAATATGGTCACTCAGCTTGTTGAGCAGCAAACTGTGCGGCTGCTTAAGCATGTCGTTCGTTGTTTTCTTCGGTACTTTCCTTATCCTAAGGACCCCCCTGCTTATTAATCTTTTTTGCTACCCGGTTGTCTGAGTTATGCTCCTAATCTTGCTATCTAGTCTGAGCGATAACAATCGCGCCCGTGAAGCCCTCCGCCAATGCCTTCCGGAGCCCCTTCGCGATGCAACATTCTCATCAGTCCTGCGTGATGATGCTGCCACGAAACGCTGCCTAGCTCAACTTCTAATTAATCTGTCTGACAATGTTGTCGACGGGACCTCGGCTGGCGCCACTATGTAAGATTTCTAACCCAAAAAAAAAATCCAAAGAAAGTAGGTTGTCGATTCCTCTTTTTCTTGTTTTCTTTTGTCTGCGAAATAATACTCGAATACACTGATAAGGAGAGAGAAAGGGAAAAAGACTAATAATAGTGGGCGGAGGGAAAGAATTTTTAACAAATAAGGAGTCACATCCATATTTGCTACGATGTAGGACGAACTGAACAGACAAAAATAATTGCCAAATAGGGGCGAACAAGAAAAGGTCTTGTGCAAATCTCGGCGTAGAGGCATCATAGGCAGGGTACAAGGGAAAAAGGAAATGTTTCAAAATGCGGATCTTCTCTTTTTTTGCGTTTTGTTTCTTCAATTTGGCTTTGATAGCACCTCGGGGGCTAGGTAATTTGGGCGAGTGAGTTGGGCGAATCTTTTATCTATTCTTCTTTTCTTCTCTTCTCTTCTCTTCTCTTCCCCTTTTTCCCTTATTCTTTCTTTCTTTCTTGTGCTTTTGTTGTCATGTAATAAATGATCTCATTTTACTTAATTATGCCTATAATTTTACCATCATTGCTCAGTTGTCATACTCATGTCTTATGTTTCATTTCTCCCGGAGACACAAACGTGATCCCCCCTCTTGTTTTACATCTTCCAGCTTCTTCCCCAGTCTCTCTTTCGAAGGTGCTCCTTTTTCTGTCGCTTCCCTCTGTCAATTTTATGCTTCAGCACTGGAATTGTCTTATCTTTTGATTTTAATTTTCGATTTGTGATTGTGATATGGGGCCATGCCATGGATGATCATTTTACATTCACTTTCTACTTCATTACCATCTTGATTATGGTACAGATGGGGAAAATTCCTTTGGGAAAAAAAAAGGGGGGGGGGGGGGGGGGTGGGAAGGGAAAAGAATAAATGTGCTTCTGCAGAGATGAGCATTTGGGCAAGTTGTCTTGTTTAGCTAAGGGTTGAGTGTCATTTCTCTGTGTTTCCCTTCCAGGTAGTATTTTTATACAGAACGAATCTTCTCATACAGAATTTTTAATTTACAGTTATTCTATTCAAAGGATTTGGTGTTTTTCAAGTTTTTCTGAAGGGAGCAAAAGAGGAGAGATGAGAGGAGGCTGAGAGAAGGCTCTATTAGTTCAATTTTACTTTTGTTAAACTTTACAGACTCCCTTGGTTTGATGGGATTAGTATACAAATGCCTCATTTCCTTCCATTCTATCTTTTCCATGCTGGCCTTGTTGGTGATATGGTTAGGGTTCCTGGCGGACTTTACCAAGTAATAAGGGGTCATAAGATTAGGGGGGGATGTTGAGATCTATTCATGCTTAGGTCCTACCTTTTCTTATCTGATGATATTTTAATATCCTACTTGGCATTGCGGCAATGTCTCGCTTACTCAAACATATGATATCATCATATTGGGCGTTAGAGTTAAAACGTGGTTTAGAAGGGGTTGAACATGGGTTTTAAATCTTGTGCGGAAAAGCACTCGGCGAGGTTTATGATAATAATAATAAACCATGACACTTACCCCTTTAAAACTACATACGCATATCATACCTCAACATACCCTCACATCCTCAGCTATATGCTCTTGACGGAATTGATTTTAATCATACATCTCCAACCCTGATCCTTAGCTTAATCCTAATCCTAACATACCTCTTACCAGTGTTGGAACGGTGAGATTGAATAGAGATAAGTAATATATGCAGTGTGGTTTGGTAAGTTATTGTGAAATGTGTATAAACTTGTTTGACTGAGCTAGTTAGTTAGTAAACTAGTTAGTTATTTTATATGGAGTGACTAACCACGCCCAAACTTTTAAACACCCATCAACTAATAGTTAGTTAATTATTTAGATGACTCGGTGATTTGCGCTTACCAATCTTCCCCCGCCAGTCAGCATATGGCTTGGCAGACGCGACGCTTCCCCCTCTAACCCAAAGCGTTTCCTGGTCCTTTTCTCCTCCAGCCCTTGGAACTATCGACCTTTCCCGATTTGATCGACGTGCCTCAAGGAGCCTTGACTTTCTCCAATATATGAAAATAAAAATATATGCGACTCTGGGCGTCTTGTCAACTCCCCCCATGTCACTTGTTTGTTATTCTATGCCTCTCTGGTTCTTCAATTTCTCCTATTGATCTAGTATCTTTTCTGAGCTTCCCCTCAAGCATGTCTGTCTATGGACAATAGACTATAGACGACCGTTAGGAAAAAGAGGGCTTCCGGCACCTTTTCGTTATTCCCCCCCTAGTTAACATCCGCCGCGCAGACCGTCTGGGTCAGATCCCTAGTCTACCTTGATACCGAACCTATCTCTAGTCGAGACCAGATAAGCCTTTTATTTCGCGTCAAACGATCTCATCCGCGGACTCCTGCGAAAATAACCTCCGTAATGGTTTTGCGAAAGCGCGCCAGGGAGGAGACCGAGGATTCAAGTACACATGTCGCGAAAAAGAGTGAACCGCAGCCGGGCCATGAAGAAGAACATGGCCTGCTCTACCAGCTGCGCAATATGTGGGAGTTTTCGAATCTTGTGCAGTATATCTATTCCTTCGGGAAGGTGGTGAAGATTAGCGATGATATCGATATTGATGTGCGTTTTCCTTGCTTTTTC